GGGCCGCCACTGGGCGCAGATGGCGCACGAGACGCGCAAAGCCGTCGCCATGTGGCACACGCTCAGATAGACTGCCGTCACTCATCGCACTAACGCACTAAACGAATATGATCTTTTCACATGTGACTTCGGCTTAGTAATTAGAGTATTCCTAAGTATAATTCAAACATAAACGTGAACTTGAATTAAGAATATAATAAAAACAATGAAACCTGAAAATATTACCAACGGTGGTATTTGGCCTAGACAAACTTTGATTTAGGCAAAGTATGTCGTTTCTTGTTTTGAAAATCCTATAAATTTATGTTTACTCTTGTTTCTGACACTAAAGATCTTACTCTTGTTGCAATACCAAGTGTAGATATTCCAGATAATTTACAAGGTCTCCTTTTGAATCATCATAGCGTGACTTTTAAATCCTAACAGCTAAAACGCACAAAAATCATCATCATGTTCGTTAGTAATTAGAAAAGATCATAATTGTTAAGGTGTTTTATCACAATCATTTTTAAGGCGGATTGCCTTTTAGATAATAATTTGAATAAATAACCATCAATCTCAAATGTATTTGTATAAAACCCTATTGTCCAATACTAACTGTGGGCTCTTTCCATTCCGTATCTTATTCAAATATTTACATTAACATTATCGTAGCCTGACGTAATTACTTATATTTTATCACGTTATCAAATAACACACTCACCTTTACCTTTTTAATATATTGACTGAAAACATAAATTATATAAAAATTGATTGAGCTTCGGAACACCAAACTAATCTTATGAATTTGAAGAATTTTATATTAAGACTAAATATTAATTTTAAATATTTTAGTGTCACGTAATGACTTGGTTTGTAGACCCGTTAATAAAATCTTCTACTTGCCCACAGTTATTTGTGTAATGTGTATCTCATAAGTATCAAATCGTTCTAATATAAAAGGTGAAATCACCCTTAAATATATACTTTTTGAGAGTATGTAATTATATCAAATAGATTCCATAATATACGTATTTTTGTCAAAATAAGTGTACGTGTGTAAACAATATTTTACTTTGTATTTTCTTTTACATTGTCTAAATAAATATCTCTTTGTTAAATATTATCTGTATTTTATTTTGGATTATTCCCAATCGTCACCCTGCTCTATCCCCTGGTCGCAGGTGGGACAGTTGAAACTTTTTATTCTCATCTATCTCCTAGTGGGGACAGAACGGGGTGACGGTTAGGAATAATGCTTTATTTTAAGGGTGCGAAAATAAAAAACCGATTTACATCAACTCTCCTTTATTCATAATTTTTTTACATAATATACAATTTTTATTTTAAATAGAAAATAACAAGAAAAATATCAGACGCATTGTACTGTGAGTAGCCCCGTACCTGGTCCGAGTACGGAGTGAAACACTATGGTATCCCAGCACTAAGTCACTAACTTATAAGTTACACACAACTTACCACTGCCGGCGACGCCGCGACCCGCGCGAAACACACCAACTAGAATTGCATATAAATGTTAACATGTAAAACCAATTGTCATAACTAACGACGTTACCAATTTGTGAGTATACACAAAATAAAAACTTAGGATAAAAACATTCTTACAAAAATAGTCAAGTTATAGTTAAGATATATCTTTTCATGATTTCAAACAGCTATAGGCTTGTTCATACATTTTCAATGTATAGTTTTGCAAATAAACAAGGACATAAAAGGCAAGCTTGTTGACAAATAGGTAGAAATTCAGATAAGAAAATTAATGACAAATGCATAAAATACAAACAAACCTGCCTGGTGTATTCTACGGAAGCATTAGGAAAAACATTAATTATCATAAAAATGTATTACAAAATGGTAAAATATCATGCATTTTTTTAAAATAAATACACATTAAATACTTTACACGTTATTGAAGACTCCATTGGTGTAGCGGCAGCTAGGTTTGAGGGAATAAGGAATAAATTAAAATTAATTTTGCATTTTAGGTTGAGTATTGTAGGGGTAGATGGCAACATTGCTAAAGTTTAATTTGAAGGGATTTTGGGATGAAGGAATTTGCAATCGGGATCCCTGCAACTGCCGCCGACTTCGTAAGGGCAGAGGAACGCATTCGGATCTTCTTTCCAGCTGAAAAACATCCATTAGAGAATATATAAAAGTTCGTAAAGACGCCGTGGATGGTTCAGATGCATACTTACATCGCAAAGCGGCCGCGATGTGCGTACGCAGACCTAATCCACGTATTATACTTGTTAATGAAGATACTACCACAGTAATATATGTAGTTACCGAAATTCTTGTTGTACAACAGGCCTAATAGATTACTGGCAAGCGACTATATTTTTCCCCACAAAAATAATTTCTAACACACATCTGTCACTGTAAATAGACAATTATAAAATATCATAGACAATTAGTTTTAGAAACATGCTAGATCAAAAAACAGACATGTTTTGATACATTTTACAAATTACTCAAATGTTTATAATTAAAATTATAATGAATAATCTAGCATTTTTCTAAAATTTTACTTTAATTTCTACATTTGCATTGTTCTACTTACTTTATAGTTGTCATTGTTACTAGAATAAATTAACTTTCTAGCAGCTCTCTAAAACCATTACCTTAGTTGTAAATAAATCTAAACTTACATATTTGATCCCAATGCATTCAATGGAGATTGGTATTCATTAGTGTCTATATTTTTTTCTTTATCTTTTACATCACTAGCAATTTCTATATTCAAATTTCCACAATTTGTTTCTGAAACTGGATGGATTATGTCTATTTTATCACATTTTGTAACAGATTCAACATCTTTAATTCTATTTGCATCTAATTTGTCTTCAACTATATTTCTTTCCTTGGTTATAATTTTAGTTATCCTATCAGTCTGAATATCAGCAGTATTAACTTGTTTAGATATTGGTCCAGTATTTTCTTTGCGTAAATTATTAACAGTCCCCGTTTTCGCTGTGATATTTTGTATTGTAGTTTTATTATCATCTTTTGTTGGATTATTTTCTTTTTGTAATTTGTTAACAACTACTTTGTTAGTTATTTGGTTTGGAAGAATTCTTCCCATGGAATGTTTGAAATTTGAGCTGAAATATTAGAAAGTTACATTTCACTTTTAAGAATTAAAATTTTACACAGTTATTTCAAATCAAATACCTTTTTATCAACATTTGATGGTTTATCCTTATTCTTGCTAATTTACTTTGAACTGTTCTTTGTTCTTTTTTATTCATTGTGATGGCTGTAGAAATGTTGCGCAGTTCTGTTGCTACTATTTTATATTTCTGGAGTAACTTAGTGGCTTCTTCTTTAAGTTTAAGCATTTTAGCAGACTCTTCCGCTATATTTTTTCTGGGTAAAATTTGTTTTAAAATCTTGCATTACAATCACATTTACATTTTGATCAGAAAAAAAATAAAAATCATGGATAAATTAGAAGTTTTTAATATGAAATCAACTAATCAAATTAAGAGAAAATAGAAATCTAGGGCTCATTTAAAAATTTTGAATAAAATGCATACAAAAGTAATTAGGAGTACAATTTTTTCTGATCAATGAATTAAAAAATCAATTCAAAAACAAATATTTGTTATACCTTGAATTAGCAATCTTTTGTTCTAGTGCATCAGATAACGTATTTTTTGCATCCACGGTAACATTCCTTGGGTTCATGGTTTCTTTTAATATGTTTGCATTCTTTTGATTCATATATGCTTGTCTAACTTGTTTCATTTTCTCCAATTCTGCCATTCTTTTGACTAAATTTTTATATTCAATTTGTTCAGATTTGGGTAAATGATTTACAGCCTGAAATTTAGTTACAATTTTTAAAGTATTTATTGTAAAGAGTCACAGTCAGTAAAATAATTATTAATACCTTTGGTACATATTTAGCATGCGGCTTTGAGGCAGCTGGTTGCTGCACAACATCTGGTAATTTATTACTTTCAACTTGCAACCGGGTTGATTTTAGGAACAAATCCAATTTTTCTTGGAAATCTAGACTCTCTGACAGTTTCATATGCATTTTCGTTAAATTTTTTGTTGCTTCATGTTCACCCTCAGAATCTGTGTCTATTAAATTTATAATAAACTTCTTTTCTTCTGGAACATCTTTTTTACCTACAGATTTAGAGGTCGCTTCTATTTTAGTATTCTCAAATGAATTTATATCATCAATAGCAAGTAGGTTTGGTAAATTCTTTGTTAAAGATGTTAGTAGTTGTGCTCTCAATAAATCTTCATCATCATCTAATTCATCTTGTTTGGTTGCATTTGTCTGTTTATCATCTATTTTTTGTCTTGAATTTACATTTCGATCACCATTTAAACTTGATTCCTTTGTTTTCTCATCACCATCAGATCCAATGTCCATATCCACAGATTCTATATCAGTATTATTATCTAAGTCTGTAACATTTCCTATTTCTGCTTCACAAGGCAAAATATCATTTTGTAAACTTTTCGATTTTGTTTTCAATCTTTTTCTTAACTTTTGCTTTCTTTTCATTTCAATTGCCTTCTTTAATAAAGCTGATTTAAGACAAATGAGTCTCAAATCTGCAGTATCATTATCATCATCAGAAGATTGAGTCTTAATTTTAGCTTGTTTTGATTTATCTGATTTTGTTTTAGTACTTTTTGTTTTTAAGGCATGTTGTCTGAGTAGTTCCAATTCATCATCTGAATCTTGTTTATTTGGTGTTTCTTTATCGCTTGGTTCTATGTTCTCAGTGTGAATATTAACTTCAGAAACTTTTTTGCTTTCTTCAGTACATAAACTTTTAAATTTACTGTCACACTCATCTTTACCCTCATTTAATTGGATACCATTCGCATTCTGTTCTTCTTTTAAAGAATCACCATTGTCATTTGCAATTTCTATATTACTCAACTGATTACAAAGCAAAATTTCTTTCTCTTCATTATTATTTAGACAATTTGTTTGTGTTAAATTTTCCAAGCTGATGACATCTTGTTTCTCAACTATTTTACTGCACACCTTTACAGGTTCATTGTTTAAACAATTTTCTTTAGGTTTTTTCCCAAACATTTTCTCGAGCCTGGCTTTTAATGATGTATCAACCCTTTCCTTGTTTAATGCAACAGCATTAGCTAATTTGCGTCTTTTATTTTTATATTCATCATCGGATTCCTCACTAGATTCACTTACAATTTTTGGCACTAATTTTCTTTTGCGATTATGTTTTTTCTTACTTTTTTTATGACTATGTAAATATCTCTTTTCCTTGTGACTTGCTTTTGAGCATATTTGGTTTTTGGAATGTTTCATATAATCTGTAGTGTTATCCTCTAATTCATTAGCTGATATATCAGAGAGATCATGCAAAAATGTGTCTGTGCTTTTCTCAATTTTACCTAAAAGTTATTTTTATTTTAACCTACATCAAATTAAGTAAGACATACAATGTAATAGAAATCTATGTTAGTAATTTATATGATAAAAGTAACTTCATTCTTCTTCATTATTAAAAAGTTATGTTACATATTATTTTTGTATAAATATATAGTATTTAATATATACTTATAAATCACACACACAGTTGAGGTATTTTATTATTTTTACATCACTTACCCTAATGTTGAAAAATTATGCTGTTTAACAAATACTCAAAAAATTCATCACTAGAAATCAAATAAGTCACTGCAAGTATTCATATATGAAAATAGTGAGATAGATAAGTTTTTAAGCATTGACTTTACTTAAAGTTAGCTACAACTTGTGCATTATTTTAACATTGTGTACAATGTAGTTTACTTCAATCGCAACTTCACTACTACTATAATATTGTGATAATAGCTTTGTTTATTTGTACTATCAGCAAAATGTTATAAATAACTTGATTGATTTGACATTTGTTATTGAAGACACCTCATAACTAGAGAAAGTCCAGTGTCAACAACAGGCGCAGTAGATAATGTGCTGTTTTAGTTAATTATGTCTCAAAAGTGTTTCAAAACCAGTGACATAATAATTTTAAATATCTTTTAATCCAATCGACTACACACAACTAAAGAAAGAATTTAAAATTAAAAGACAGATAGAAAATACAATTTTCAGATAATAAATATGAGGATTATAACTTGCAAAAGTAATACAGAAAAATTAGCCTAGCACGGACTTCTAAAAAAAATTAATAAAAAGGATTTTACCCAATGACACCCTTTTAGCTTCTTGTCTCTCAAGGACATTATTATAATTTTCCAACACTAACAACCTTTGTCTTAACAAAAACTCTTCTTCTGACGAAATTCCGGATACATCGTCCCAATCATCTACTATTTCTCCTTCTTCCATTTCAGAATCGTTATTCACTTGAGGAATCTTTTCAACACTACTCATCTTGACGTAGTTGATCCCAATATATTTTTAACAAGTTAAAAGTATGATCTAATATATAGGATCATTGCTTGTATCAGTCAACAAATAGGATAAATCTAATGTTTATACAATAAACTAAAACTCAAAGTTTTACTGTAAATATAAGTAAAAATATGCATTAACACTAGGGCACCAACACGAAAATCCAAAATGAAGGGAAAGGAAAACTGACCATAGACAATAGACACATTAAAGATAAAAAATATAAATTATGTAACAAAGAGCAAACTACACATGGGTTTCCGCGAAGAGACACAATCAATATTTAGTTCTTTTAATTAAATAACTAATAATGTTATAAAACGATTAGCATTCGTACGAAGCAGGAATGAAATGTAAATAATGTTACGTATCGTATATTGAATGTTTTGTTACTAATGTTCATAATCATACCAACTATATCGATATACCGACATACTGTACCTTTTTAAATCTCTCTTTCACAATGCTGGAACTCAAAGTTGCTATAAACAATAATACAAATATCCACTCACATCGGTGAGGGAGAATTACTTTATAAGTAATGCAGGCAGGGTCTCACACCATCACCATCATCATCATCATCATGAAGATTAAGATTATTCCATCACTAATCCTTATCCTAAATGCTAAACGTCAAACTTCAATGTCAGTGTCAATTAAGTGAAGTGTTTTGTTTTGTATAAAATTGATAACAAATACATTTTATTTACAATTTCTAGTGTTTTGACTACAATAATGAGGGATAACGAAGAGAAATATGTTTTCGCAGCTTGTACTTATTTTGCGAAAAATCATCCAGGAGAGACATGCGGCAGTAATGGATTACCACTAACACCAAGTTCAATATCAATCCTGGGACGAGCTCAACGATTACTTACCGTACAACACCCTAACTTGTGTACATATCTTGATATTATTCGCGGAAAACACGGTCAGTACAGCAAAATGAAAACTAAAATCCAAAATATAATTAGCACCCTTCCTAATATACTAAGTAGGCGTATTTACATAAGTTAAATGAAGCGAAATGTAAATTATAAAGGATTTTTCTACTGAAAATAGTAAATATTTTTAATAAGTGTAATACGTAAATTTAACCAGAGTTGTTATTAAATATATTCCAGAGAGAATAATAGTAGTAACAGAAGTTTTTGGCAAATCATTAGAGGAATGGAAGTCCAAGTTTTCATTCGACGAAGTTACTAATATTGGAGTACAGATAGCTAAAGGCTTGTTATTCTTGCATAATCAAGATATTGTACATAGAACACTGGCAGATGGTAATATATTAGTGGACAATGGTGGTAGGGTTAAATTATTTAATTATGGAATGTATTACATGACTGGAGGTGGTGCAGATGTCCCATTTCCCCTGGGGTCAGTATAACTTTTTAACATATACTGTTTGTTTTTAATTTCACATCTATACTTATAATAAAACAAGAGGGTCTGTTTATAATAACAAAAGAAAAATGCCAGATTTTGGGAAGATGATGAATTTCTGCTGATAACGAAAATCATATTTTATTTTTTTCTGTCTGTCCACAAGCCATGGTGTTCAATGACTAATTTCAACTGGACTTTCCCTCAATGGTAGCTGATATAGATGGGCGTATTATAGGCTACTTTTTTTTCTTATAATTGCATATTGCATCCACAAAGTAACATATTACAATCTGTGTTTTTGTTCTCAACCCTTTTTGTTGTACTTTAGACTTTGTATACTTATATATTTCAGTCTGCCGAGATATTTGAGCCCAGAAACAATACTGAATGGTGGAGGTCCAGCTGCAGATGTATGGACATTTGGTATAATTTTACTTGAGCTCTGTATTGGTAAATTGTGGCAGAACTTGAAACCTGGACCCATACTGCGAAGAATACTAACTCTTGTTCATGCTGCAAATCCAGCTGAAAGGATAGCCAGAGAACATGACTGCTTTGAAGCATATAAAGTAATAGTTTTTTATGATAATATTGTTTGTTATTCTAGAATTTAAGAATAAATCTTAATTAGTAGACTAAGTGTTCTTAGGTTCTACATCTGTGCCGATTAGTGAGATCCGTTGAGCCGTTTGTTAGCAAACATCTATCCATCCATACATCTAAAGATTATGATTTTTTGTGTCTTACATCCAAAAATATATTTTTATTCTGGACTAAAGAATAAAGAAAATTCTAGCCCAGTTTAGTCAGGTTCATGATTTATACTGTGAGTTGTGGTATTTTAACCTTGAGTTAAGATTTTATAAAGAGTCGAAAAAATCTAATATTTATACTGTGTAACTTGTAACAAGTGTGAGTGGAATAATTTGATAAATTATTGTTTTCAGTCAGTACCAGATCATTTAAGAAACATAATCGAAAAATGCCTAAAGATCTATCCGAGTGAAAGAACAACGTTTGAAGAGCTGGTAGAAGAATTATCACAGGTTAATGTCAAAACATTAGTTGAGGTTAAGAAACCCCGCGGCCTGATGGGATGTAAACTACAATATTTATACCACTGGTGGCAGTTAACTGGTGGTGATATACAGGCAGAGTTGAAAAAAAATGGTTTAGTTAAAAATAGCCCGCCCATTTTGTCTATGCCTATGTAAGTACCGTTATAATTGTTACTTAGTATTATAAATGCGAATGTTTAGATGATGGATGTTTAGAGTTTGTAATGGCTGAACAGATCTCATTAAAATTTTTTTTATTAAATGCTAAATAAGAACATATTCTTGATTCTTCATTAGAAAGTATGGATGGATTATGTGAAAGAGGATATGCTAAAGAAGGGAGTGGTTTCAGATATGATGACTGATAGAAATGTATGGAAGAGCAGCACATACTGTGCCGACCCTCTTTGAGAGATAAGAGCAAGTTGATGATATAGAGCATATTCTTGAACATTAATACTTTTGTTTACTGTTATTTTTTGTTTGTTTTATAATATGCGCTGATGAGTCGAGAGCGAAATCTTATATGTTGAAATTAAAATAATATGGATATTTTATTTCAGAGCGATACTTTTAGATGGTTGTACTATCGGAGGTAAACGTGGGGCATTATTTGATCGTCGAATAGCGAAGTATAGTTTGGATTTACTAAAAGCGCGTCTCAGTCACATCCCTCCGCAGGACTTCTACCCGCTGATGCATGAACGCAGACGAGACTATGACGCGGTAGCTCTGCCTAAGATAATAAGAGAAAGGGATACTGAGTATCAATTCTATAGATTGCTATGGTATCAGAGACTTCTTATTGTAAGTAATTTAATATTTTTATAGCTGTAGCTCATGAAAAAAACAAACTATATATGGAAATAAGTCATTACTAAAGTCTAGTATATATATAGCTATAGAAAACATAAGAGATTCTAGATTATTTTTTTATTTATTTATTTTAATACATAATAATATGAAAGTGTCCGTAAACCCAATTGCGGGTTTGTCTAGACACTTTTGGTACTACGCTATAAA